CGGCCGTCGGACGCGGTGACGGAGCGGCGGATGACGAGCAGCGCTCCTGCTTATCAGATGATGAGAAACCGGGCAGGCCCGGGTGGCTCCGGCCCAGAACGAGCCGGGGGCGGCGCTAACCGAGGCGCCGGAGGGAGGCTTAAGAGAGGACGGAGTGCACCGGAAGCCTTCGGGTGCGCAAGGGAGCCGGAAGGAGGGCCTGAGGAGCAGGTGCCAGTGAAGGGAGAGTAGATCGGACGGGCGAATGAATGCTGACGACAGAACGGCGGTCGAACGCCGCAGATACGCGCATGGCACACCGCTCTCTGCCGTCGGCTGGACGAGCAGCGTTCTTCAGAGGGCGGCGCGCCTCTCAGAGCTCAGAGCACCGCAGAGCACCGCAGCCGGCTGTGGTGCTCTGAGCACCGCAGCCGGTGGTGCGCGAAGCGGTGCTGCGGGCGCCGGCCGCGCCGGGCGCCGCGGGGCGTCGGCCTCGGGCAGGCCCGGCCGTCACCGTGCGCCTCCATTTGTCACAGCCGCCCGGTAAGTGTTTGCCGGTGTAAAAACTCATCAGGAGCGGACGGCGATCGCCGCGGCCGCGCTCATCCATCACGGCCGGCAACTGTTCGTCAGACGCCCGCCCGCCAATACAATCCGATTTATTATCGTCGGACGGTGAGCGCCATCCGTCAGTGTCAGCCTCCCGCTTTATGAGCGCACCGATTCTCTAATGAACGCCTGGAAAATCATTAACAGGCATGGACAAAACATCCGCGCGCAAATACCGCGACCGGCCGGTCGGCTGCGAGCGGCGATGGTCGGCGGTCTGGGGCGCCCCGGGGCGCGACAGGCCCCGTCTCAGTCGCAGCTCCCTCCCCCTCCTCCGGTCCGCTGTGAACGGGCGGGAAACGCCGACACGCGATAATTCACGAATCTTCACGGCGGCGCGATGAATCCGATAAAGCGCCGCAGATAATTTATCGGTGAAAGCCGGCCGAGCGCGCCCGATCGTCCACTGTGCACACGTTCATCAGCGGCGGGACGTTAACGTCCCGGGCTGGGCTCGTCCGGATGGCGGGCGCATTTCGTCGGAGAGCGCGGCTCCGGCTGATGGCTCCTTCGGGAGGTACTTAGAGGCCGGCGGCCACTCTACCTGGTATTTGCCCGGCCGGCAGGCCCGCTTCCAGTCTCTTTTAGCATGCAGATGCGGCCGTGATGGATTGGTCGACCGACCCGGCGGCCTGCTGAGCGGGGAACGTCAGCCGTTGGGAGGGCAGTGCTCCGTTCCCTCTCCCTCTCTCCGCTCTGTCCCTCCGCTATTGTCTCAGGACGTGAACCCTTTTCGCTTCTGGCGCAGGACCTTTCGATTCGTTGGCTTCTGTTCGTTCCTGCGTGTTTGTTTCCTCTTGCCCGACCCTCGTTCTTCCTCCTTTTCGTATTATTCCATATTCTCTATCGTTGCGTTCGTCTTACGTCTTTTGCCGCAATCCCATGAAAACACAGTATGAGAACAGCAGATATATGCATACACTATGCGGGAGACATAGCCCTACACTATATGGAATGCATCCATACATAATACGGGACACAGGAGGTGCATCCAAAAGAACCTCTCCCACTGCTGTAACCTTGCCCAGCGTCAGCTCTGGCCGTCTCTGGCGGTGGCGTGTCTGCGTGCGCCGGCCCGTCTGTGGCGGTGCCGTGTCGCTCTCTCCGCGGTCCAGCCAGCCGTCACGCTGCCCTGTCAGCGCACAATGGCTGACCCCGTCCCGGCCGTCATCCCGCCGACCCGGATCCCGACAGCCGCCGCCAGGGCGGCGCCACCGTCGGCCCGGCCGCGGCCTCTGCACGCCACCTCGCCGCGCCGGGCGGCAGCGGACGCCACCTCCTGCGACGGTGCCGCCGCGGCGGACGCCTCCTGCTGCGGCGGCCGCGGCGAGCGATGAGCTCCTGGTCTGTGTCTCGCTGACGGAGGTCTAATGTCAAACGCTGCACCGATCGCGGGCCGAACCCCAGCCCCGTGGTGAGCCCACCGTGACGGCCTTACCGCAGTCACCCTCCCCCCCCCCCCTTCGGACCGCGTGCTCTGGTGGGTCTTTTCCCTCCCCTGGGAGGCCCCCAGAGTTGCTTGAGCGGAGTTCAACGCGGCGTTTGAGCGGAGGTCAGCCGGAAGTCACTCCGCCGTCGCTTCTGGGACCCGGGAAGGCCGTGGCGAC